GCAAAATATTGAACGATGCAGGAAACATCAAAAGAAGATGGAAGGAATACACAAGTCACTGTACCAAAAAGAACTGGTATGTTCAGCCATTTCAGGAGGTAGCATATAATCAAGAACTGATGGTATTGAAGGGAGAAATCTTAGCTGCACTGAAGGCACGGACAAAAAAACAGGTTCCAGGAATTGGTGAAATACTCATTTAGATGTTTCAACAAACGGATCCAATGCTGTAGGCCCTCACTTGTTTATGCTAAGAAATCTGGAAGGCAGCTACCTAGCCAACTAACTGGAAAGGATCCATATTTATGCACATTCCAAAGAAAGGCCATCCAATATAATGCTGAAATTATCAAACAATATCATTAATATCATACACAATTAAAATTTTTGCTGAAAATAATTCAAAAATAGTACATTGACTGGGAACTGCAAGAAATTCAAACCAGATTCAGAATGGAGGATATCATTACTGATGTCAGATGTATCTTGGCTGAAAGCAGAAAATACCAAAAAGATGTTTACTTGTGTTTTATTGACTATGCAGAGGCATTCAACTCTGTGGATCATAAGAAATTATGGATAATATTACAAAGAATGGAAATTCCAGGACACTTTATTGTGCTTATAAGGAACCTGGACATAGACCAACAGAGACTCATTTGAACAGAGCAAGAGTATACTAAAACCAAACCAAAACAAACCAAACTCACTGCCCTCAAATCATATCCGACTCATAGCGTCCACTCCTTGGGTTTCCAAGGCAGTATCACTATGGAAGTAGATTGCCCAACCGTCCTTCTGAGGAGTGGCAGGTGGGTTTGAACCTCCAGCCTTCTGGTTAGCAGTCAAATGCCTTAGGCACTACACTACCAGAGCGCCTAAGGGGATACTATGTGGTTTAAAATGAGGAAAGGTGAGTGTCAGGGTTATATTCTTTCACCATACTTATTCAATCAGTATGCTGAGTAAATAATCTGAAAAGGTGAACTATATGAAGAAGAATGTGGCATCAGGATTGGAAGAAGAGTCATTAACAACCTGAGATATACAGATGACAAAACCTTAGTTGCTGAAAGTGAGGAATACTTGAAGCACTTACAGATGAAGATCAGAGACTACAGCCTTTCGGTATGGATTATAATTCAACATAAAGAAAACAAAAATCCTCACACTAGACCAGTAACTTGCATTATTATAAATGGAGAAAGATTGAAGTTGTCAAGGATTTCATTTTATTTCAATCCACAGACAACATCTATGGAAGCAGCAATCAAGAGATCAAATGATTCATTGCACTGGGCAGATCCGCTACAAGAGACACCTTTAAAGTGTCGGGGAACAAAGATGTCACTTTGAACTACTAAGATGTGCCTGACTCAAGTATTTTCAGTAGCCTGATACACATGTGAAAGATGGACAATGAATAAAGGACACTGAAGAAGAATCAATGCATTTGAATTGTGGCATTGGTGAAGAATATTGACAATACCATGGACTGCCAGAAGAATGAACAAATCTGTCTTGGAACTACAACCAGAATGCTCATCAGAAGTGAGAATTGTCTCATATACTTTGGTCATGTTGTCAGAAGGGACCAGTCCATGCAGAAGGATATCATGCCTGGTAGAGTAGAGGGTCAGCAAAAATGAGGAAGACCTTCAACAAGATGGATTGACACAGTGGCTGCAACGATGGGCTCAAGCATAGCAGGGATTGTGAGGATGACTCAGGACCAGGCAGTTTCATTCTGTTGTACACAGAGTTGCTATTAGTCATAACTGACTCCACGACCACTAACAATGACAAAGTTCTTGGCAAGTCACTACGTGTTTCTCTGAGCCTCAGGTCACTCATGTGTAAAATGGGACAATGATAAGAGATGATATGTCATAGAGTTCTTAAAAGGATTAAAGAAATGCACTATAGAGAGGGAATATAGCAAGGTGGTGAAGATTGTGGGTTCTGGAGCTATGCTACTCAGCTTCAAATACCAGCTCTGCCACTTACTGTCTTGACACCAAGCAAATTACTTTTTCTTTGTGCTGATTAGATTCCCCAGGAAGCAGATTCTGAAACAAAGCTTAGCAGGCAGGATATTTAATAGGTAGTACCAGTGCTATGAGTCGGATCCGACTTGATGGCAGTGTGTTATTTGCATTTACCCTTGGGATTAACACCTATAGGAGCAAAAGGAAGGAAGGAGTGAACAGAGGGTGAAATTGGGTCACAGTGCAGTTCCAATGGAGTCTCAGCTGATCCTACGAGGAGCTCTGGGCTGGGATTGCCTTTGAGAGTTGTCTCATGATGATCAGTCACTGGATGCAACTGCTGCTGGAAGGAGGCATGACCTTGGGTGAGGCAGTTTTCTCCAGTGGAGGGAATCTCCAAAGAGGGCTGACATCAGAAAGTCATCTTCTAGCAACACTGTCAGCCACTTGGCAGTTGCTTCATTTTTGAAGAGGAATCTGGGCAGTGCATTACTACGTCCACCACAGTCTCTGTGCCTCCATATTCTCATCTGAAAAATGGGAGTGTTAACAATATTGATCGTATAAGGTTATTATGAGAGTTGTAGTAGTTAGAAGAGTATTTGGCACCCAATCAATGTTAACTGTTGTAAGTTCCCACAGTAAATCTCTTAGCACTCATAGAAGATAAGTGCTCAATGAATGGTAGTTATGGAGCCATACTCAGACTCACAGCTTTGTTAAATGTTGTTGATGGAAAAGGTCTTAGAGATAATTGAACTGTGTCCTTTAAGAGATAAAGATTCCACCAGAGCTGAGTGAGAGGAAGCAACTTGCTGAGCTCATTGATAGAATAACCAGATGAGGAACTTGTGGCCAATGTCACCTTGCCTAAGCTGATGAGCCATAAAAGGAGCTGTACTTGACCATATCCTTCTATTTTTCAATTTTTATTGTGATTTGGGTGAAAGTTTACAGAGCAAATTCACTTTCCATATAGCATCTCACATACAGTTTGTCTCA